GTCCGGGATTCTCGTTTAAGTGATTTAGTAACGCATCAGAGATCGTTCGAGTGCGATCGCTCTTCTCCGAAATCGGCGAATCCTGTGTTTGTCAGGTGAGTTACTGTCACACAACCACGAGACATTCGGAGCGGGCTTGTTGACCGTGTACGACGAGCTGCGCTGGTCGACTCGCACCGGACCCATGTCGTCCCAATGTCGTTCGAACAGAGTGTCATCGGGTCGCTGAGGGCTTCTTCGGCGGTGCGGGCTCGACAGTGGTCCGTCAGTTTTCTGGTCGGATACATCGATGGGTCGGCATTCGTTCTCCCTCTTCAAGTGGCACATTCTTGACATACGTTCATTGTTCGGTATGCTGGTAGGAAATCCAGAGGTTTCCGATGTCAACGTCTCGATGTTCTCTCTCATTAAAACACTACGGGCTCAAGTTGCTAGCTGGCTGGATGACTTCCTGTCTGACTGAATGGGAGAGCTCACCGGGCATCGTCGAGGCTGGAGCATGCTGTTCGTCGAGGTATCGCGACCCGGGAGCTTTCATCCTCCCCCGCGATTCCCTATATTCCTTCTTGGATTTCGCCCCGCGTCTCAAGATGTTCAACTCCCGCGAACCCCTAAAACTTCCCAACGTTGTCCTGTTTCTCACCTGTCCCTCCTCATCCAAAAATACAAACTCTTCCCGTCCCCTTCGAAAAATCCGAGCTTTTCGCCTTTCTCTCCGCTCACTTTGCTCTAAGGCGAAATTCGCTCGAATGGCGAACGCTCTCCTGACGCAAATGCTGCCACTAGTTTTTAGTTTTTCCTTCGCTGAGAGCTCGAAACTTTCGATAATCTCAGACACATCTCAGGAACAACGTCGAGGGGTTTCAAGTTTCTGATTGCTCCGCCGCCTTCCCTAGCCTCCAACCATGATGTGGGTCGGAGAAAAACTTGAGACACTTCGAATCTCTCGGTTCGTCTGTCTTGTAATTTTCAACCACGATCGATTCTGAAGCGTTCCCTCACGCTCAATGTCTCGATTCTTGACGAATGTGGGAGAATTACTGCGGCTGTCGCGCTAAGATTTTTCTCCGGGTGCCAATGAAGAGCCTTCGATATTCCGCCGCTATAAGTAGAGTTTCCGACGAGATCATCGTTTCTCCTCAGCTACGCCGCCGATGGATAATGGTGGAAGGAAGTTCCCTCTCGTGCCTCAGGAGCATAATTATTGGTGAAAAAGGTAAGACGGTCGACCCCGATCACTTCCGAACCAGGCGCGCTTGCGGTATCAGTTTTCATTTTTTGGAAAGTTCAAGATGAGCACATCTTGAAAGTTTGTTGCAAGAGACGAGTATCGCCAAATGCAGCCAAATCACTAACCCATAAACTTCTCAACGACGAGAAAACATGACTGTCCCTTCCGGTATCACGAGGCATCGAGTAGAGTTTCGAAATCCTCGAACTGCCTACCTGCACAGGACTTGATATCTGCCAAGAGACAGAGGTTCGGAAGATACCCCCGCCGAGCAAACAAGCTGCGCAATGGATCGCCATGGGATGAACGCCCCTTTTCCCACGTTGAGTCGCTTCCGCCGAATCGAAAGCATTTAGGAGGACCGTCATGAGGAATACGCATCCTCTTGTCGCAGCACTCGAAAATCCGATCTTGTTTAAGCGATGACGTTTCGCCGCGGGCCTACGTTACGGGGATGACCAATGGGATTTTCGATGCTTGATCAGATTTCGTAACAGGTTTCAACGCCGTAATCCCCATCAGCATCAATTACGACCCCTGCTCTAGGATGGTGCAGCTCTGTCGCGAGAGGTACTTTGTTGAACGTGCCAGTGGACTTCCGAGCGACAAGCGAAACTCGAGCCTGAGACCCACTCCGACGCAGTTTGATCTTGGAAATGCTGCTCAAGTATAAGGCATATCGGATTAAGCACGATGGTCATGGGGTGGCCTTATTCTCACGATTCGTGTTGAGCCTGAAACAGTGAGTCTCAGGGACCTCTCAGCATCAATTGATCCCGTAAGGAACGAGCACGGACGGCCAGCGAAATCCTCAACTCCACTGACAGAGAGCCGAAAAGCTTGAGGCGCGTGTTTTCATCTTCTGCTCCATTGTCTCGAGCTTCATTCTCGGAACACAGCTGGGATGGGACTTATGAACTCCTGCTCTTCCCTAAGCATCACCAAACAATGTGTCCAGAGGAGACGTTAGCGAACGTCACAGGAGTCAGCACCACGTTCTCACTTGGTTTCCCCCGCAAATCATTGATTCGATTGGGCCTCCTGTACGGATCCATCATCCATCATGCCACACGTCGTTTGTTCACTCTCACTCGACTAGACGCATCGTTCAACTGGTCGTCAACATTCCGTTGGAATTTATCATTTCTCCACTCGTTTTCCTTCTGCCCCCGCAGGTTCATGAGAGGCAAGATCATCGGCTCGAGCTACTCTCTCATATTATTCTCGCTTGCCGTCCGCGGAAATCATTAGTTTCCATTTGTTTGATCATACACATGTGGCTTCCTATGGAGCTCCCCGCAAGCTTGTCTATCTCCCGATGTCGGTGAGTGAGTGTTTGTGTGTGTATGTAGGTACATATATGTGTACATGTTCGAGCGTCTCGGTTAGTGTGTGAGGGTGAACGGCTAAGCTCACTTATGAGACGGCAGAGCCGAACGAAATTATTTGCGCATCTGCTCGCCCTTCGGGGCACAATTCATCGCTATCTATATTTCACCATGGCAGACGGAGCAGCGGGCTCGCCGAAGACTCGGAGCAGCCAGGGTCTGGGACGAGAGAGCGGAAGCGGTATGCCTGGACGACCCGCCCATTTTCCACTTCCGGAAAAGCTCCGCCTCTTCCTGTGGTGAACGAAACCGAAGATTCTATGGCCGCCCCCTACGATGCGAGCAAGGACCTGCAGCCACTTAGTGGAGTTTTCTAGCATGGAAAAAAGAAACGAACTCAAACATCCGCCCACAAAACTCCAATTCGTCAATCCAGAGAGATCTCCACTCACGAAAGACGCCGGATAAGACCGGGGTCGCAGAGCCTCTTCATCACTTTACACCTCCGCGCGCAGATATAATTGGATAGTCTATCTGATCTCGGTTTACTCATCGGTTTCGGCAGTCTGGCTCATCGAATGCTCAGCGACGAAAAAGTCACAATTCTGTGTTACAAACTTGTGCCTTCCCCGTGGCTGATCATGCTTGTGACGATCATCCATTGCCGGAAGTTCTTGAAGATGCAGACGACGGGCTCGTGCTAGCCCTGTCCCGTTATCTGGGATGCAAACATATGCCGAACATAACCTCGTAACGAACCTGTAATAGGCTTCATGTATCTATGCATTCATGGAATGATAAGATCGTAACAAAGCTTTCCAAGAATCCCGGAGACATACTGAACGGCTACCTGGTTTTTCTGCTGCGCGAGTCGGCTCTTCCGAGAATACCAGTCGCCGTGAAACGCTCCCTAGGTGAGAAACTCCCATGTTCGGGATGTCGAAGCGAGCTCCCAGACCCGGATGAGCCTCTACGTCTTGGACCTCGTCGTTGGAGAATGTGGATCGAATTATTTGAGATAATCGCCTATGAGATACCAGACAGAGGCATTTCGCCTCCGATAGGAAGTCCGAGGAGCTGATCCCTTGATCAACGGCTTCTAAGCTTTGGGCCGGAAACTGGCAGGAAAGACTCGTCCTTGATTCTCTCGAGCTTCGAGGTGATTGCGGGAGCCTCGATTTCACGTGTATGCCTTGGGAACGGCTCATCCTCCGATTATTCGAGAGATATACCTTAATGAGTGAATTTCAGAGGCCATGGTCGACACGAGTCGGATTTTCGACCCCCAGGAGGGGAGGAAGAGAGAGCGGAATGGAATTGCTGCGGTGCCGTAGGTTCGCTGAGTGATTATTTCTGCTCTGGAGGACAGAAAGGAGGAAGGGAAGTCTCTCCGCGCGAGCTTGAGAAGCCCGACGTGATTCCTGCAGACTGCTTCTAGAGCTATGATAGGGGCGACTGGGAGTATTCTGTTTCTTTCTAAAAGTGATGGCCCCACATGGAAGCCGCCCCCCAGATCAGACACCTCAAATTATCGATCTCTGCTTATTGCTCCCGAGGAAATCAAGAGCGAGTCTCCATCTCCGTGACAGAGTGATTTCGAACCATTCGACGCAAGAAGACCTCGGTGGTACCTCCGGCGGCGGCAGCGAGCGTGACGATCTCACCAAGATGTCACAGGACCGACCGCACCCGAGCAGAAAGATCTCTCCGCGGAAAAACAATGGGGATCCGGGCTGCCTTGCAGACGAAGGTCCCTTGCTTTTGTTGTGCCCCGAATTGCCGTCGAAACGCATTTCGCCATATTCGGAGTATCCTCTATCGGATAGAGTCTATTCTCCGATATCAATGAGGGTGCTCCAGAGTAACGAATTGTTCCTCGTGGTCGACAAGCATCACACACTCGCTAGAGAACGCGATCTCTCCTATATTTCAACGGATCATGGTCCCGCAGCGCCGACACTGAGAGTCACGAGTGCCAAAGCTCGACGGGTCGCGTCCGACGTCGGATCGCATAGCCGTCGCTGTCCGTGTCATCCCCGCGCCTCAATCAATCTCAATTCAAAGCCTCGGAGAAAAATACACCACAGCTCGATGCCTGTTTCTCGACCCCATGTACATGAGTCGTGTTGAGCTCGAAGTTCGTACTGACATCGGAGCACCAACTTCAGGGATCAAGTGTTCTTCCGGGGGTCCGCGGTCTTGTCCTCAAGCGCGATCGGCTGATGAAGAACGAAACTAATGTTTGATGGAAAATCTGCCATATTAAGCCCAGTTTATTCGGAATGGACTTCCACCTAATCTGTAGCGAGTCAAGTCGGTGTACAGATAAAGCGATCAATTCGAAGCGACAATGTATGGATGGAGAGATCGAGTTTGCCTTCAGTCTCGCGGGAGCTCGCGTCGAGGTTTGTGGAACGCGAAATGAATGCTGTCGCATTCTGTCACTTCCTCCTTCTGTAGTCATCGCTAGCAGTCGGCCATTGACCCGTTTTGGGATCTTCCCTCCAGTAACTCAGGTCCGGATCAGGCAGGTCCTCACATCGCACACGCGGGTTGCTGCAGGAATTCGGTCCTTGACTGTCTATTGGCCATAAGTTTTTCGCTCTGGTCGATGAAACTATGCGGTCTCAGATCCGAGAATTCCCGCCGATGTACTCACTAGACTGGATGAGCGAGTCGTAGCACGAATCTCTGAATCGTGGGTATATCGTCTCCATTAGCGCAAATGATCTTGGCCTGGGAGGCGGTGCGGATTTCGCGCAACTGCTCTGCAAGGGTAGAGAGGTCCGTCAGCTACCATTATCACAGAGCGAGCTTTATTTCTACGATCGGCCTGAGATACTTGGGCGAAGGAGGGAAGTCGAACAGCCATCCAAACCTGGAGTGAAAGAAGAAGGAAAGTTCGGATTCTCGAACCAGTATCTATCGCCGCGACGGAGATTTTGGAACTGTCTACCGACCACGCATGCGAAGGTGGGTCCGATCATTCCACCTTCGATGATCCGCTCCGAGATTCCCCCCGACCAGAGATCGATGTCGTCCGGATGTCTACGAGAAGGTATTTGCCTTAATGTGATGTGCGATATAATCATCAGGATTTCACCGTCGGAGAGCTCTTCTTTCGGGCTCCGTATTGTATTCAGGGGTCACTCAGCTCACTTGTAAATCTTAGAATACCGCAACGCGGTGCCATTGTTCAGGAATGGCTCGAGCTCCTCGAATGTGTCTACGCGTCCAAGTCCACACCATTCCCTGAAGGCGTTGTAGCCCGGAACCCCGTGTTCTCGAGCCCGTTGCAAATTGATCGAAATGAGATCTCGCCCGAAGGGTTCCTCGGGGTTTTGGAACAAATGCTCCGTGACCTGTCAATGGATTAAATAATGGCAGGAATCAGAGACATATTTCCTAATTCCGCCATCTCCCTCGATTCTCGAAAATATAAGTGCTCTCTGAGTGAGACCACTAACCTCCTGTGTAATAAACGGATCGTAGGTCTGTGCAGGTGTGTTTATCAGACCTAGGGCCAACTCGTCAAGTTTCCCAGGCTCATAAACCACGAACGGTTGCTGCAGGAGCTCCCTCAAGGGTGTCTGACCTGGAACGATTACAAAACGATGATCAGCGCGCCCACAGATGCAAAGTGTGAGACGCCGGAATATTCAGAGAATGCGAGAGGAGTCCATCAGACATACCGAGGAACTCGTGATATTTGTTGTAACGTCTGACCATTCCTTGAATGAAAGTATGGCCGAAACGGAAGGCAGCTGCTTGGAAACTATTGGCTAGAGCGAAGTTGACGTCGGGATCGTACCCGTCCCAGTAGCCCTGCAATGTAGCGTAACAGCTTATAATTACTTGATCGTAGATTGTTTACAGATCAAGGAATGGTCTGGGTTGTACATGTAGAAAGAGGACAGAAGCTTCCTGTGGCTGTGTGCGAGCCAGCGCTCCCCGTCGACCGTCCGCGGGTCGAAACTTACGTCCTCCACAAGAGTGAGATTATACGTCGACATTATGTCCGGTCCAAGCGCCATTGGGAGATACTCGTGATACACAATGTATTGGACCATCGCAGCCAGAATATGGCGCGTCTCTTGGTAAGTTCTATCATCGTCCCAATGCGGATTAAGGCGCCCGAGCTCAAGAGCGAATCTGGAAACGCAGCGGACAGTGAAGGGTTATCGGTTATCGGCACAACTTGAGGCTCACAAAAGACTGGTGACCGCTGTGCTTCTCTTGACTAATTCGACCGCGTGAAATATTCGTCGGAACAATCAATAACATTCTCTCGAGACTCGCGACTAAGAATATATATTACTCTTGGTCGCTACAATCACGAGAGCTGTCAATTAGATGTGCGACAGATTGTAATTCTTCAAAGAGCCATGTATCCTCCTCTCCACCTTCCTGTCCACACATTGCGCGATTGCGAATGGCATCGCCGGGATTATTGTGCGTTCGACGAGCTCGTGGCATTCGGAAATATGAGATTGCCGGATTATTTCATGAAAATAGTCTTTCTCATGCTCTGCATGTTCTCAATAGCCGACTGCAGGAGACGGAGGGGCCGGCCACGGCTCAGGGGCGTCAGACCTTTCATGAAGGTAAGGATTGCTGGCTCGAGTCCACGACATCAGAAAGTTAAGCGATCACAGTCCCGTTTTCAATTTCTTTTCACGCTGTGACTAGATCAATAAGCGCGGAAGAGTCCAGGGATGGAGACCGATGCTCCCTCCTTCTCCCATCAGAGCAGTAGAGCATCGAACCGGGATTCGACGATAATAGGGGGGAGAACAAGGCTGCTTCCGGGAAAAAATGCTCGGGAGACTTTCGGCACAAACAGGGGGAATTCCACTCATTGAAGATAATTGCAGAACGCTTTCGGCTCCGGGAGGCAGATCAATGTGTGGGCTTCCCCCCCCCGCCGCGAATTCGTTCCGAGTCGGGTTCGGTTCTGGATTTTCCCAGTCTCCTCTTATGGTGAAGAATCGTCGGTGCAGAAGTTGAAGACCATGAGATTTGCCTCAGCGTATCGTCTTTCGTGGCCTAGAAGGCTCACATGTTGGGCTTACGAGGTTTCTTACGTCGAAGAATCGTCCCGTCAACGTGTTCCATTCCAGAACTATTGTCTTTCCTGATCCTTCCGATCGTCGGTCTAGACTTACGGCTAGTGAGCGGCCCCAGTTCATCGACGGAGGACGATCTCGGCCACGCGAGCGGCAGAGTCTTGCCGATTCTATTACCTTGTGCTCGGTCAAGTCATGCTTGGCTTTCTCGCCGCGCAGCACATGATGATTTTCGAACGGGATATCGGAAATTTCTCCGGCCGTCTCGGTGGGGGTGGTTTCACGACTTCGCGACGACGCCAGTATTTTGTCCCCCGAAGTCCTGGCATCGAAGCTATTGAGACGGTTCGGTCAGGTATGCGGGTACATCGCAGCCGATCTTTTCTCGGAAGGCACCGAAATTCCTGCGACGGTTCTCAGACTGCTTTCTTCGTTCTTGCACGCGTTTCTTCTGCTCGATTCGAGCATCTGATTTGAGAAGGGAATGGCACGCTCACGGCAGGCATCATCGGCTCGAGAAGTGAATGAGATCACCGACCCTCGGGCAGAAATCCGCAGAGCCCATCGACGCGGCGTCAGCATATGGTCTTCGTCGGGCTCAATAGGTATCCGACGTCAAGCGGAACTCAGCTCAATTATCATGAGCATGGCAAACTTGAAGCGATTCTCAACATCCACTATTGTATGTATACTTGCGGTCTGTACGACGATCAAAAGCTCCGAAATAGCCGCGAGCGAAATTGGTCTTCCCGACCCCAAGTCGAACGGAAGAATCCGGATCTGGCCGAAATGGAGATCAGGATTTTCTAAGCTGGCGCCTCTTTTCAGGGCTAGTTCCCACCGGAAAAGCTCCTCGATGCTTAACACCCAATAATGTGAGTCGTGGAATCCTACCTGTTGTGATCACGGACGTAGAATGTATGCAGCACGGTCAGATGAATCTGTTCGTTGACGCGTTCATCCCCGGCTATGAAACAGAACAAGTTCCGCGGACGCCCTATGCAGTCCCGCTCGGGATTCTCGCTCTCAGGAGGCAGTATGGGTTTCAATCCTAGATCTCGAAATCGGTCCCAAGTTCTCATCAGACCTGATCGAGGACAACAATCCATAGATGATACGGATGAGATTAAAAGCGCACTCGGGCTCGAAGGCGAGCGGTGTGTATTCGAGCTCATCGATGCTAGAAAAGCTGCTCCCATCCCCGAACAGAAGGGGAGGGGTCGATGTTGACAAAAAATTGGAAACGAGACTTAATAAAGCGGACTGGAGCCGTTGCATGGTCTCTCTCACCTCTATCAAAAGCTCGGAGACGAGCCGAGAGAGCATCGGACGATCCATAGATGAAGTTTGCGTCAATGGTATGGGACAGAATGTTGATATGTGTTCTAGGACCTGGAATCAGCTTTGAACTCAGCCACCTGGCGCACTCTTACCATCCGGCGGCGACTCAAAGTTCCATCTACCTGGGCCGGCAAACTCACCCAATGCACAGTTTGGTCTCTGCCCGGCCAAGGACCGCTTGAATTCGATGCATCGCCGATTGAATTGACCGTAAAAAGGGTCTTTGGGGGAGACATCGATCGTCAAACACAGGGGATGCTGCATATCTGGAGGAACTCCGCAGCAGTCGAAGTCGAGATCCTGCTCATCTGCACAATGAAATCGAGAGTTCGCGGCAGAAGCCATCTGAGTAAGTTCCTCGGAGCAAGTTGAACCATGTCACCCAAGGACGAACTCTGACTTCCGACTCGGGCCGAAATCAATAATCGGATCGTGAAAGTCCGCTGTGTACAGTTAGACGAAACGAAGGCGGCGATTGTGAGGGTCCAAAGCCAATAATCATAAATGATTGTGATGCTATCAATCAGTAGCCTTCGATACCTATGAAGGGCTCGATTCGAGCAAGCACGATCATCTCAGCCGCTTACCTCGCGGCGGAGCTGCGAGAGTTAGGTCGTGATCTATGAATTGACCCCAAGACATCACCAGAATTGTCAGCATGGGCGACGGTTCATCGAAGTCCCGATGTATGAAATTCGAGATCGCCCGTGGATTCGGCAGATCTCCGCCATCCTTAGCTAAACGAAGGCCGTCGATGCCTGAAACAGTCGCGATCCGCTTGAATTTCCCGCGAAACAGTTCTGAGAAATGGTTCACGTCTCCGGGTCTGAACGCTCTGCGTGTTCCGCTTGTGAAATCATCAGCTTTCGAATATTCCAGTAGACTCTCTGCCTCAACAAATCTGCGAGGTCTTCTGGAGTGTTCTTTCCGGCGGAAAACCACTCACCGTTACTGTAGACTTGTGGCAGAAATCGAACGAACGGTGTGTTCGTCACGCCCCACGACGGGTGTTTAATGTTATTGCACCGGGCATCCTGGGTCCGGAAGCGCTCCACAGTACAGGGAATGGGTTTTACGTGAGCGGGACACGCATCCCATAGGTCGGTTTGGGAAACATCGATCAATGGGAGCGCATTGGATATTTCGTCATGAGTCAATCGGAATTCCCCTGCGGAGGGAAATCCTTCATATTATCGCTTGGAAGAGACAGATTTTCATCCTTATTGAAGATGAACATCCACGGGACTCAGCGGAAAGAAAGCGCATCCCGAAATCTTTTTTTGAAATAATTCAAGAACATTCCGTGCTATCAGAACGTGGTGCCCGAGACGCTTCGGAAGTCACCTGCGAGTATTCGAGTGGTTTCCAGCGTGAGCTCTCCGGTGGGCGCGATATCTCTTTCGGTTGGCAGGGGATCATCGATACCTCGGGGGCGGATGAAATCTGGGGAGTGCAGAATGCTGAGCTCTCGCCATGCCTGCCCTCAGGGCTCGGTGGATTTACTTCGAGAACTTAACTCACTTGTCCGGCGTTTTGCTTCGCGTACAGCTTTATTGATATCGGCGTATTTTATGCAGATCACCTCGTGGGGCTCGACGTCATTGTAATAGCTGGAATCGAAATGCTCTGTGCTGAGAATCTGGTTAATGGGGCGGCTGATGGCTAGCCAGCTCAAGAAATTATGATCTGCAAACTGAACTGATCTTTGCTGGTGAGCTTACCCTCGATCCGCCTCGTTCCCGTAGGTCCCGCTATACGGATCATTATATCCGCGATCTTTCTCGCCATGGGGTACGTAGTGTCGCTTGAGTAACAGGGCGCATTCGTATTTCTCACCGGAACCGCGGTCATTGCTCTCGCGTGACGAGCTCGCGCCGTCTTCGGCCGAGATGCACCGATAAGTACAGAAACAAGACAACAAGGCTACAAACTCCACGAAGTTGTGTATCCTGCAATAATAATGGGACTTCACAGAATTGACTCGTTCAAGGAAGTAGTTTCCTTCAGGAAGCTGGCAGGACAGTAAACTCACAGTGAGTGCGAACTCTTGCTTAATGTATTCTGAAATTCAACGTGAACCCCCTTCCGAATAGCCCGAACCAGCCGACTGGCCCGACAAGGACTTGCGATCCCCTTCCCGAGCTCCGCAGCTGCGGCCCTGAGATTGAATCTCCAGGCACAGGTCAGATAGCGAGCTTCTGTGAGCACCGCGACGGATGCCACACTCGGCTCGGAACCCCGATGCGTCCTGCCTTCAGCTCGGGATCCGATGCGTATTCCAGTATTCTGAGGCAAGCAATTTTTTTTCCACAAGCCGTCTCCCGTCTCCAGGAACGCTCGGAGTGAATCGGGATCATCTACTCCATCGCAAACGCTTCGTGAACTTGCAAGAAGCACCCGGGTCTCTTCATCTCGGAATCTTGGAGTCGACAACCCTCAGCGACTTCGGATTCTCAACCCGAAAATTGTTCCCAACGGACCCACGGAAGCTTTTTCCCTTCCCTTATCGATTTTTCGAGTGCGATTGATCCTAATTTTGTGAGATATCACTCAGACCCTCGGCAGAAGAGCTCTGATATCGCATCCGTTTCGGATTTTCCGAGCTAAGCCCAGCTGCGGCGACCCATAGCTGACTGTGGTTTCGCGCGAAAACATGGCAATTTTACCGTTTCCGTTTCGATGTCCTCATATGGATGGCACTGCGGGTCTTGGAACCGACGAGATCTCACTTCATGACAACATGATCCGATTATCTTGCGGACTCCTTCACCTCATCATATCGAAACACACGTCAGAGATCACGGTGAAGCCGACGACCGACTGAAGTTTTCAAGGAAGCTTCGCGAACATACGCGCTTCTTCAACTTGCGGGATCTGTGATTTCGTCGTTCGAGTTGCTCGGTCGCATTGTCCCCGTGCGAGTGAGTGCGCTGTCTACTGAGCTGTATCCGACCCTTGGACGAAACTGCGGAGTTTTTCCCCTTGGAGCCGAAGCGCTACACTCTTTTTCCCAATTCTCTTGTCGAAGTCGACCACCAAAATGTTGCAGACGCTCGGAGATTTTCTGTAGAAACCGAAACTCCGTTGGTCGCTAAACCCGTTCCAAGATTCGATTGAATATTAGAGCAATGTCGACCGGGGATCCCCTCGCCCTTAGGATGTTGCTACTCATCACATCTGCTTTCCGCGGCCGACAGACGCGAAGAATTCCTCGAATGATCCGATAATTCGCTAGAGGGATTGGTCCCGACTGCGGAGTTATTACATAGCGACCATCGGCCCAGCGAGATCAATTCAATCAATCCACCAATATCGAGTGAAACTCCCGGCATGAATCTAATGAAACTTAGGTTCGTACCTCGCTGTGGAGTAGTGAAAGCTTCCTTTCTAGCTGAGTTCCCCTCGACGAGCTGCCAGGCAATCGTCATTCGGTCTCCAGGAACCTTGTTCCTTAGTTGCTGCTGTCTGAGTAAATAGGTCAAGTCGTTTTTCAACACTGTGGTTACAGGGTTTCGTCTAATGAACCAAAAATCTCGGCTTTTGGTCTGACTAAGTTCTCTCGCAGTTTCCCTCCCATCCGAAAATGAACAAAACGTCAAACAGTCAGGCTTTCGACCAGCTTCCCATAGCTGCTAAAAATTGAAGACGAACAATTCCTCAAGTTCTCAGCGATTCAGGCAAAAAACGGGCAGCTTTTTTCGGGGAGAGTGAGATCCCGCCGACGCGGAAGACCGGCTCCGCGGATAGGGAACCCCCACGACCGCTCGACAGAAATTTTTCACGCTCAATAACCAAAGGCGTTTCCGACGAAATGCTGTGGATTCATTATGATAATTGAGATGCTCGTCTGGCAATCGTTTCCTTGCAGCTTCGAACCATTGGTTCCCTTGAGCCGAGCTCCTAGAGATTCGTGTAGACTTCGGGCGGGCGTCTGAGCTTCCGAGTCGAAAGATCCCAGAAGCCGTCTACGCGTCGCGGAAACGCTTAAGTATCGGTAAACACCCAAATGTTTCCGTTGGATATCAGGACCAAATCGGACAAACAGGACCCTCAGAATCTGCACAGATTAAATTCTCGGTGGAGTTGCGCGCCCCCTTGGCGAAGGATCTCAAGCTCCATCAACTCGATCCGCGATCTTCGGACACTATCCCTCACTTCCGATCAGATAACCCCTTGAACCGATGCGGTCAGAGCACGTTCTCGTGGTGGCCTCCGGAACGCTTCTCTCCCATTGACGTCGTGATTACGGAAACCCACTGAAATATCCACAGTGTATTCTGATGGCGGAAATCCGGACAGTATTTCGGGTAGTTTGATGATTCCTGAAATCCCAGCGGTGTTGGTGCCGCGAATTCGAAAACCCTGAGAGTTTCTACACCTCGGAGCGAATCAGAGCTTTCCTAATTGAAAATCGCCTGAAACTCGAACAACATCGTTCTATTCCGACTTCCATTGCGCAACTCGTTCAGTTTCTGCTGGAAGGCTTCCGGACGCAAATTGAAGGCCGCTCATCCAATCCGAGGGGAGACGAAGCGGTCAGAAAAGCTGTCAGCTGTCGAAGACCTATTAGGAACTCATGTGGGTGTTGAGTGAACACGAAAATGAAATTTCAAAACTTCGTCTCTTTCGTTTGTTGCCACCACCACCGCGCCGCCGACCAGGGATCACTGGAGACCTACATGACTACGCGCTAACTTCGGGCGTCGTTCCGCCCTTATACTAAACAAAGTTGGCCACACGATTACATCATGCCCACTCACTCATTCACTCACATGAGGCGCCCACCACCAACAACAACAAATATTTAGCCACTCGGTCGAACAGATTGATTGACTGTCTGTTCGTTGGTCTGTCTATCGGACTTGAGTGTCCTTCTTCTGCCACGGCGTGCGTGTCCGGTGATCAGAGCACATTTCGGGCAGAACGAGCAGAACTGGAATGAGCGGCGCCTTATGTCATCAGAGTTGGTCGCCCTTCGGCAAGGGCGGGGGGTGAGGCTATATTACTTAAAACTTGATCTCATTCCTCACCAGAACACTCACAGAACAGGAAAACATGCGTTTGACTAACTACTTCTTCGCAGTGCTCGTGATGCTCGGACTCCTCGGAGTTGCTTTCGGCGGTGATAAAATGAGTGAGTATTGAGCGTTCCTCCATGCGACGACACCCGAGACGGTTGTGGGAAAGCTCCGGACTCTCGATTGACGAGTTCCAACTCGAGCACCTTTTTCCAAGAACGAATGGGTTCGATCGCGATTTCTCTATTGGGGGAGTTCTGAGACCAGCTCGATATCCAGTCTACGCACCGAACTAATCGGACCCCTCTCCTTGATTCACAGAAGCCTTATTCGCTCTGAAGAAGTTGATAAAATACGCTCCGAGCATGATCCCTGTGCCGATCCCGATCCCTATCCGGATGCATCACCATGGACATCATCATAAAGACCATCACACAATCGTGGTTCACGACAGCGGTAAACATGATAGCTACGGAGGTGGCTGGCGTTGAGCTTGATATGTTGTAAATCGATGTCTCGCAAAATTCAGTGTGTATCCCATTATGACTCATCTACGACACTCATTCGAGATGAGGCTCCTCCTCTACGCCCGCGCACATTCAGATTTAGATGTTGTTCCATACCTCGACGGTGTTACGTTCCTCGTTTGTGGCAAGTCCCAGTTCTGTCCTGTTCCCGTCGCCTTGTTCCTGTGATACTGTGAAAAATGTTGTTCATGTAATAAATTCAATGCTCAATGTTAACGCGAAGTTTCTTCGTCTGGAACTGGAGAAGGGCAAGGTGGCCGACGACGAGATGACGTCCGTATTCCGGGCGACTATCGAAAGTCCGAATCGAAGGGTTCTCCGGGAAGACATCGAGCTAGAGTTTAGCGGTGCGCTACAAAGAAGCGTTTAGGATTCGGGTTGCCCTATCCCCTCCGGAACATTACCCGAAGTCTCGCGTGAAAACGGAATAGCTCGCGGGTATCGCTTGTCGGCTTCTTGCTCTCCGATCGACAAGGTATTCCGTGAGGAATTGGTTATTCTCGCCGAGGACGGCGTATAGTGACGCAACGATCCTCTCTACTACGGATGGCATGTCAGGGGCTTCTCGCATCTAGAGATCTCGTCTGGATCTAGAACAATGAATACAGATCCTGTTCATAGGACGCTTGGGGAATGAAAACGACTCGAATTACAAATACGACATGTATTCGGTCCTCTTTCTTCCTCATTCACTCGTTCTCTTCGATCTATATCAATATTTACAATGTGGATCCAAGCACCCACAAATAGGTGTTCCCTGTTTCGAACATTCCACCGGCATCACCTCTATCAACAAGCGGTCCAGTCAAACGAATAAGACCCAAGATTCGCCCGCGAACTCGTTCCAGATAATAGCCGGATGAAATTGTCCTCCAGGTGTTCCAGTTCGCTTTTCTCTCTCGTCTCTTCGCCTCCAAAAACCGGCGGCAGGAGCTTCACGTCTCATCTTGTCTCGGACAGTGTAAATCGGGCAGCGGAAGCCGTCTTCCGGGTCCAGGGTAGACTGTCATATATAGTAACGATTTGTTGAAAGAAAAACAATATCCGTCTGTGGTCATTATTGTCTCTTGAGGCAGCGCGCTGCGATGTGGTGCGAAGATTAGAGCGAGATCAGAAGACTTTGAGGTCGACATTTCTTTGCATGGACCTCCTTCGATACCGGGTCGCTTCCGAGAGCTCAGCCCTCAGTCTTCTCATCATGATCCCTCCGGGAAACTCTATCGTCTGAGCTCCCCCATCATGGTGTCTCTCTAAAATTCGAGATCATCGCTATGTTGTAATTTTCTTCGTGAGCAAATTGTTTTGCGTCGTTCTTGTGCCCGTTTTCTTCTCTTCGATTCGTCGAAGACCCTGGATTGGGTGCAACGCTTCGTCACGAAAGAAATTTCGGGCTCGCAAACGACGTTTGAACCATCAGAGGTGGGTGGGACTGCAAGTCCTCGTGCAGGTGGCCACTGCGCGAGCGCCCTCGACTCGGTGCCGCCTCAGTGGCTTTGAACGGTTTCGTTGATTGCAAGGGCGATGATTGGAGTACGATCCATGTTGAATGGATAGACACCGCGATCGTTCCAAATCAGGTCAATCGAGTCCGATACAGGAATCCCTCTCATTATCGAGAGAGTCCAATAGAGAATTGACTATGTTTGTGGCGATGAGGGTGGACTGGATTGAGATTATGACCGAGATGGCGGTGATATTTCGAGATGCGAACGGCAATAATTAGCGCGGCTGCCCCCACTGTCTGGCTATCAGCTAGCTCGTGAGCTCCTGCTGCTGTTCTTCGAGAGCGCGAATTTCAGCTTCGATTTCTGATTTCCGTTGGATCTTCTCACTTTGCTCTTTGTTTGGTTGGCACGATCCTGTGGTAATCTTCTCCTGAAGACTTTCTATCTCACGTACTTTCTTCCGTAATGCTCGTAACCGTTTCGAGAGGTCCGACGGCTGCGAAAAATAATGTGGAAGCTTGAGGGATATCGGTCGCACACTCATTGAGGAAAATGAGCATGGTCGCCATTCATTATCTGAGCTCGCCAAATACCAAATTGTAGAGAGAAAAACCTTACCTTTTCGGCGCCATTTTCCTCTGACGAATTCACGGTGAGCGTTTTGACACCGTTCTCGAGCGATATCACGTCCTGGTTCAGCTTCTGATCGCTGTTGACGACATTATTATTTTCTTTGCTCTCTTTCGCTTGTTGTTTCTTTTTGTTTTTCTTCTTTTTACTCTTATTAGCTGCCGCTAGTTCGGGATTCGCGATTTCTGCTTGTTTCTTTTTGAAGGCCTCCATCTGAGCTGGACTCAACCCCGGAGGGAATTCTGGTTTCATTGCACGAGCCAATTGACGACCCCGAGATTCGTATCTAGAATGAGTTTGAATATTCATTAGTTTCGGCGGTCTCGCGATACGGAGATGAGAACGTTGGGTGAAATCGGAGACTTCTAGGTTCTTCTGGGCTCGAGTCCGCTTTCTTCGCGGATATCCAGTCGAGATCCGAACGGAAATCATTCACGGTGGACTCCGGATCAAGTGTGAGTATCTTACTTCGGCACTTCATCCTGCGGTATATATCCCTCCTTGACTCGACGGGCCTTCCTCCACGTCCCGTCGGGGCGCTGGCTTGCTGGGATAAATGATCCTGAGGAAACGAGACATTTTTAGCCGACAGTGATGAGCATATCACGGAATTCACGTGGCTGAGGTGGTGAGCCGATTGCACGTCGACATTAATATCGAAGGGGAAGCCGGAAAGCGGATAAACGAAGGAGCAAGCGAGTATCCGGCTGTACGCGTACGCCCATGAACCAATGGAAGTTTGCATGACTCCCTATACGGTGGGCACGCTCAGGGGGACCAGTAGGCGGGCACGTACGTGCGGCGACATCCTGGATCGAATGAGTCCGAGGAGTGATCTGATCACGCACAACCCGTTTCGTGAGGTAAGAGTCTAACAAACTGTATGGCATCGACTTCTGTGGAGTCGAGATCTGACCATCAAAAGCTAGCACTTCAATTACGTTGATGTTCGAACCGAATCTCTACGAGCTGAACTTTCGAATCACTGGGGAATTGAATCAAACAGGAACAGGCTGGTTACGAACCGGGGTCCCCAGCCTGGCTGATTCCACTTCGACTGATGGTGAGTGTGCTCGATTTTCACCCCGTCAATGCCTGGCCCCCGTCCGCAGCCGACCGCATGTCTATAGCAGCTGAGTGGTTCTCGAATATCGTGGGCAGCTGCAACAATTAGCACTGCTATGCGAGCGATACACGCTGCTCTCGGACCATGGAGTCTCTAATTTCGTCCTGAACACACTCGGGACAAAGCTAGCTTTCAGTGAATGAAGCTCACCAGGATCTGCCATGCTGACTTCACCAGCGTTTCTTCCAAAATATCAACAAAAACAACTTTTCGTGAGCCGTAGCCGAATCTGCACGCACAGTTGAGCGAGCGAGCGAGCGAGTCGTCGCCGCCGCCGCCGTTCGCAACAAACAGCAGCGAATGAGACAGACAGACGGACGGCAAACTAGATAGCCTGACTGGGTGGCGAGCGTCCAAGTCACAGAACGACCCCGCTAGCCATGGAGAACGTGTGCAGTAGAAACTACACCGATGCAAATCGAGTGAGTGAGCGAACACAAGCGAGCAACCCAATCGACGTCGCTGTTCGAAGCTAGCTGAAACATCCTTTCACTCACACACTCGCTCATTGATTCGTTTGAATTACGCGGCGCCAACAGACTTACCTTTCTCGTCAGTTTCGTAGATCTGGCTGCATAGCATCTGATTCGCGGTCATCATTTCATGGACACCGCACGTTTGGTATCGAATGTTTCGCAGATTGCGAGACTGCTCTATGTGTGTGTATGCTGTATGTGTGCGATCGTGGGGTACAAGCGAGAGGGAGTCCTCGAACTCCTGGGAGAGGGACAACAACACAGCTGATTACGGCTGCAGCTGATCAGCTGGTGGGACAGAGGAAGGATGTTCGGTATCCCGAGATGGAACCTCGGAGCCGGAAGACCACTCGGCCTCTGATTTCCCGCTCCCTTTCCTCCCCGCGGAAATCGACCGGCCGAATCCGGGCCCCAACCCCTACATCGCATCGGTCAGGGTCATTCATTCATTCAGGGTCCGAAACTGTTAACAAGGGTGCCTGAGGTGCGCGATGCCTCTAAAGCCGAACTCGTGGAGGTCGAACGGACTAGGTTCGTTTATCCGCTGGACATTACAGAACGCACGGAATTCCCGCGGGATGTCAAGCAAGAGGCGGAGATCACCAGAATAGTCGACAACCGAAAGAATCGTTGGAGCCAGGCTGAATTCGTGGATGAATCTTGGCGTCGCGAATGAGCATTTCGGGGCCAGTCTCCTCTATTCCCACCCTCTGCCCGGAATGGGTGTCAAACTCGAGTCAAGTGCAGCTCGGTCCGCACTAGTCCTTGAGCATCCCTGACCTGCTCGACTAGTTGGAGACGGATCTCACGGGAGCAGAGACAACGGCCATCGATGGTGTTCGTTCACGTCATTCTTTGCTTTCTTCTACCGCTGGAGCCCAAGGGATCAATAGCTCAATGGTGGAAACCCGGCTGCAGAGATTCACTCCGGGTGCCCGGAGCATCTTCTCCATGGTCTTTCCAGAGTGCTTATCCGACATCGCTGGTGAAACAAGAGCTCCCTCCAACATCACGAGAGCTCGAAGCCGAGGAGTCCTGGATCTTGACCTAGGAGAAACAATTCGTGTTGGCGGATTCACGACGGGTACGGATGATCGCTTGCGATTCCGGCAACGATTCAACTCTCATCAGCGACATTCCAAACAGCCAAATCGAATTCTGCTCTCTGAGAGCGTGAACGCTCCTACTTCCGAAGAGATTTTCAGCTAAGACTACCACTACATAGCATTTCGAAACGCGACTCCTGTAAGTTCCGGCTCATTCAGTATAAGAAGTTGTTGAGTGGAGATTAAAGAAGTCACTTCGAGGAGAATGAGTCTTTTCGATCCCCAAGGAGCCCCCTTGCGGTATTTCATTTTCGCTTATAAGCTCAAAGCCAGAGAGAAATTTAAGGTCTCGATCTGAGAACTTTCCATTGATCTTGAAGGAGTCCGATCAATTTTTGCGGTCCTCGATATATGGACTCCATAGGATGCCAATTTCGATACCTACAGACGTATAAGGAATCGTAAGCATTAAAAGCTCAACAATACGGACCTTTATTGGCACATGATGAAAAATTGAGTATCCGTAAGAACAACATGGAATGTCGACACTGCAATTTTTACACAGTAGAGGCTCGACGAATGGAAATTCAGACTTTAAATTCGGACTTGAGTTCGAACGACTTCTAAATTCTAGAAACACGATGTGAGCCGAGGGGGGACTGTACTAAATCTCCCGATTCCTCCGCAAAACAAGATTTTTACCGCGAACTGCGGAAGACTAGATAACTTAATTCTTCGTAACGAAAACACCCATTCTAGAGACAGCGTCACGAGTTTGGCTCAACGTTCGCGAGACGCGCCAAGGTTTTTTGTGTCTCCTTATTGCGACATCTGACAATTGCGTCCCGGAACGCTCCCAGCTGTGTGCGACCATGCAATAATATATCACTGAAAAAAAGGCGAGCTCTCAGTCTCGGGCAAGATGAGCGAGATCGAACCACTAATCGACCGCCGCGCCGTGAACGTGACTTCATAGAGGATTAAAACTCATCATGGAAGAGAATTCATCATAGCTCACCTTGTGCGTTCATCTTGGAAGAATTGAACAACTTCCCGAGGAGTTGCGGTGAAAATTTTAGCACACACTTCGCTCAAAACTTTGATAAATCTCTCCGCCACTGTCAGCAAGAGTTCCGAGGAGACGCTGTTGCCGAGCTTGAGCAAACGGGAGTAATCCTCTTCAATCCTCCCGAGAGATTCAGCGAATTCTGCGAGAGTGGTGAGTTTTACTTCAAGACCGGCCTCTGGATTTGCCTTCCAGCAATATTCGACTCCGCACCGGGAAGCCCAAGAACCTGCGAGGAGACGGAAAAGGTTGTGAAGCTTCAGTCGCTCAGGAAAGCGCGTTGCCGCTCCGAATGATCATGCTGATAGAATACACCGCGCACACGAGACATGAAACTCACCGGAAACGCAGTGCAAGAAGTTCCAGACCGTTTCCAACATGTGGTACACCGGAGAGCATCTGATGTCGTCTCCGACGAGTGGCCCGAAGGTCTGCTGAGGTCGCTTCGGTATAACTTCGACTCCTATTGAATATCTAGTCGACATCTCTGCGGTCGTGTCATGCCCCCGGAACATCGGCCCAGCTGAGATCGTCGCCTTGAGTTGCGAAGATCCCTCAGCGCACTCGTCGTCGACATCCATCCCATCGTCCTGGTCGTCAGAATCGACTGCGTCTCCGGTGCTCCCGACTTTAGGGAGTTTCTTTCGTTTGGAGATGTCTTTCTTTATACGGTCACTCTTCCTGCGAGCCTTGTCAGCCTTCGTTACGATGTCTATAACCTGCCTCCTCTGTGCGCCTGACATACTTTCGAAGCGTCTGTTCGTTTTGTGCTCGACAATGCTCGACGAGAGACTTGCTTTCGAGGTGGCTCGCGGATAACTCTTCAATGCGAAGAAAATCCCTTTGCAAACGTTGAGGATTCTTGCGACGGCATCCTTCGACTTCAGGGTCTCCAGAATCGCACAAACATGTCTCAGGAAGCGTTGGACGCTGTCGTGGGTCAGATGACGTCCTCTCTTCCGACTTTCTCTGATCAAGGCTACGGTTCGATCTAGGAGATCCGAATCCCTCACAATCTTCCGCTCTTTGACTCTCTCTACTAGTCTGTAGACGAGTCCATTGTTAACAGAAGTCAGCTGGCTTTCTTCTCCCAGCTGGAACTTCAAGGCGCACATGAGGAGATCCGTGCAGAACGTGAAGAGCTGCTGCGCGTTTTGACAAAGCTCTCTGAGATCCTTGATAATGAAATGATCCATCTCGGGAATCGCATCCCTGAGTTTGCACATGGAGTCCACCGATGACCAACAGGAGAGCCCGTTGGCGCATGACTTCACACTGAGATTATTGTCATTGGTGAGCATCACAGTTTTGAGTCCTGTAACGGAAAAGTTCCGTTTGATACGTCCCGGGAGCCAGCGAGCGTTCGATCGAAGACAACAGCTTGGGACGATACCCACTTGCCGAAGGAGCGTGGATCTGAGTTACCTTTCTCTTTGAGTTTGAGAGCGGCGCCCAAAATGAGATCATCATTTTTAAGTACGACACCACAGGCCTGGGCGACGTCCTTGTGGCCGAGAACGCCCTGAGCAATAACCCGAGGTTGTTTCTGCTTCATGTACCGACATAGAAGTCGGTTGACGGGGGCGGCTGTACTCCCTCTATCCAATTCCGTAAGTACAATGTAGGGTATATACACGGAGTACGGTAGACTCGACTCGATAAGAGCCCGCACCATGGGCAATGATCTTATCAGGACGGACGTGTCTGCTACCAAATATGTATTGACCGGGTCCAGGTCCACGGACATCTGGAATGAATGAAACTCGTCGTATGAGAAATGGTCGAGAGAGATCTACAATTTGCGAAACTCGTGTTCCGGGGAGCGCCAAGCGCCAACTCCATCCAGGGTTCTAGATGTATATTGGAACTCTCCAGATTGACGAAGTTTCAGACAGTTTCACGTCATAACGGTGTGGATCAACTCCGAAAAACTTCACGTAATGGATATGTAGATCTCTACAAAAGTCTCGGAGCCGAACTCAGGAACTCTAGTCCTGAGCTTCTCCGCTTCTCTGCCACGCATGATCGGGGGAGGGAGGGGGCCATAGAGGGTGGGATGAACGGAAATTTACCTCATGCATAGATGACTGAGCTGAAGAGGAATCACTGACCATCTTGACAACCGGCTTCGCACCGTTGAAGAACCGCGGGGGTGGGGGAATTATTATTTAAATACGAAGCGGACGGTGCGGCGTTGATTACAAGGAGACAATCGGCACATTTTCTCGTGGTCCGAACTGCTTTCGATGTGCAGAGAAGTGGCTCCGACTCGGCCTTCGGGGCATCTCCTCCGAGAAGCGCGTTCGAAAGCTTCATAGGATCTCATGCACGTATGCGGTGTCTATGTGGTGTTGACTTCAGCTCAGGTGCGCCACGCGCGAAATTTTGAATTGAACGAGGTCGGTCTCATTCCGAGCAACTGCTTTTCACGTGCCTCCTATCTCCGTGATCGAAAGAATTGACCCCGGTGGGTACGCCGTGACCCGGGGAATGAAGTACCCTCTTGAGCCGTGAGCTGTTCCTTTCGATGATGATGATGATGTTTCGGTTCTCGAAGTGGAATAACCGGGGATCCGATGGCTAAGCCGTCATAGAAGGAGCTTGATACGGTACCCCGAGGGTCTCCAGGCTAATCGTCAAGTTCTCGCGATATGGGTATGGATATGATACCAAAAGATCGACCAAGAACATGGAGGCTGCTCACGCGACGAGCATATCATATGCAGGGCGGGTGTGAGCATGGAATGACCCCCGATTTCGAATGAGGAGCGTTCGGCTAGACATACCTCTTGCATATCCCCTAAGACAACATCTCCTCATACATTCAGATACGGATGTGGAATAAGTCACGACATCCGCCGGGGCAGCCGTAGACAGACTACGTTCGAAAGATCAAGATCGATGGGATTTTGGAAATCGAAGTCGCTCGGCGCCGTGTCCGTTGAGAAATGAACTTTCTAGTCTCCTCGTCGTTCCGAGGTGCATATTACCCACAACTTTTCGGCGCTTCTTTTTCGCTTTCATTCGTCGCAGAGTCTCGAAATCAATTCGTACCCCGAAGATGGGTTCATCCGGTCGATTCCCCAGTTCAGTCCCTTTGAAGGACTGAACTGACGATTCCTTTTTTTCTCTGCTGCTCGACCTGCAGCAGGAAGTATATGCGCTGCGACTACCGGCAAATTCCGACGATTCCTATCATGCTCAATGAGAGCCTTGAGAAGCCGCGGCTGTGTATCTGAGGGCCGTTTCGCGGTCCTGGAACTGTGATTCGGTATCACCGATTCCGAAAATCCAAGACAGCTCAGTCAATCGGAATTAAATTCCCGGGGTCTCTGGCGGCAGCTCGCGGAAGCGATAAACCAGTGTCGCACCGAGACGACGGACTGCGAGCTCGACTTGTTTAGACCATTGGCCGAGTCCGCCTGGAGAAGTCGATGAAGATTTTCGACGTCTTCCTTCCGATCTCCCTCCTCCCCCCCAGATATCTCATTCAGTTCTTGATCCCCTAGGGATCCCTCCATCAGGACGGTCGAGATTGGTACGCCCTCGACATCTCTAAACACTAAGGCTGAACTGACGTCAATGACATCGGGTCAGCCTTTCAGAGCCCGCTGTGTATCTCGCCTGAAAACTTTCTTCAGATGAGAGTCCCGAGCAGCGCCCCGCGGCTTCCATGTGGATAATGATCTCGGAATGGTACACGCCTCATTGAGTGGGAGACCTTTAGCTCTTTTCAGCTGATCAACGCTGATCATAGCGACGTCTAGTCAATTCGTTACCGCTGCGTGTTAATGTTGGTTGATGAGTTTTCGCGGTAGAACTACCAATTGTTCGAGTTCGAGCCGAATGATCACTTGAGCGAGTTCTCCCGGCTCGCGGTCCATGTGGTGGTCGAGGAACAGTCCATGAGAAACGCTACCTGTCTCGCACCGAGGGAACCATGTCGGCGCCCCAGGGTTTTCCGGAGACTGGAACTCTTCTAGGTGAGTTTGTTATAGAATCTTCGTGTCCCGCGAGCCTCTCTACGATCCACCCGGACTTCTGCGAACCAGATCGGTGTCAATAAATCATGACTAAGGAAACATTGAATTCCTTCAGAAAACATACCGATTTCATCAGGACTCGTCGTTTACATCGTCATCATGCGAATTGTGATCCCGCTATTCGGAATCCCAATTGATCCGATCGATTACAATACGGAGAGCATTATCAACGATGGCCAGGTACCGTCTCTAAACCCCAGCATGTAGAGATGCAACTCAATCCTCAGGCAGAGTTCAAGTTTCGATCGCACGTGTCGTTTATTGTGAAATTTGTGGATCATATTTGCAGTTCTGGCGTATCCTGACGTCCAAATTCTTCTTCACCGAGACCAGAGACCTGATAAGCGCTGTCTTCCTACTATTCTATATGCGAGGCGTCGAACGACGTTTTGGCACCGGGAAATTCGTCGAGTTCCTGCTCGGGAATTTTATCATGACCTGCCTTGTCGAACTCTTCATGATCCACCTGCTGAATTACCTTGCGCCCGGCTATCTGCCGTCCTTGATACCTCCCGGACCGTTCTTCGTCTTCTTCCCGATGATCCAGAGATTCGTGACTGAATTCCCCCCGGTTTCGAGATCGTCTTACGGCTCTGATCTGCCACTGATTACCCCGCTGTTCCTTTTGGGCACCGTTGGCATCGATCTGGCGTTCGCGCCGACACCTATCTACTTTCCCATAGGTTGCACCCTGCTCGCTGGGGCTTTGTTGAACGACGATTTCCTATATCTGAAAAGGTGAGTCGCGATGCGATGTCCCGTTTATGTTGTTCGTCGCACGAGAGCTCCAATCAGAGTTGTGGTGGAAAGGAAGATGTCAAACTTAAGGATGCCACCATCCACAGCATGATCCGATTACCGCGAAGTCTTTTCCCGAAAAGACCTTGTGACGTGTCGACTCGGAAAATCGGAGCTACGATCGAGGCTCAACGGAGTATGCACTCGGAGTATCTCGAACAGCAAATGATCTACAATTTCAGCAGCTTCCGAGCACCGCGGAACGTGGTAGTTCCCCCGGAAGAACTGGTGAGGCTGGACGCTTCCAGCAGCTAGTGTCCTAGCCGCGATAATCATTGCGCTCAGCATCAATGCTCCTGCGGACATTTCAGTGAAATCCTGAATGTATTGTGCCTGACCGTACTTTGGTTTCCAGGTTACGCAGCTGACGGAAATGGGATTCAACAGAGAGAATGCAATTCAAGCATTGCAGAGCACGAACAATAATTTACAAATGGCCACCAACATTCTATTGAATCAGTGAAGAAAAGGATGTGAAAATAAGGTTGTCTTTCCGTTAAACGGTGGGGAGGGGAAACTCCCGTGATCGAAGGGAGTCAGCCCATGTCCCAGGATAGTTTCAGCGGATACGAAGTTTTGCAGCAGTCTGTAAATTATGTACATTTTGCCAGTAGCTCGAGCTCATCTCGGGAGCTTGTCTCGGAACTTCTGTTCGAAGCGTCCGAAATTGTGGGCATTGTGAGATTTCGGTGAAATAAACAATTGAGCCACGGATGGAATTTGTCGTGATGCTGGCAGCTGATAGTTCGACGTGAGCAAGAGCTCGGACAATGCCAAAGAGTCGCTAATTGGTCGCTGATCAATGGATTTCTCGACGACCGCCTGGATTCCTCTCGTCTGAACCTTCATGTCCTATATAGGAACGCATGCAAAAGTGACCACAGAAAGATCCCGTCACACATCCGGTCGACTTTTTATTTCTCTGCACATTAGCGACGGTAGCCGTTGTTTTGGACACCGATCGTTTGAAGGCCGGGAATTTCCGCCATGTCGAGAAGTTTCAGCATGTCGACGGTGTCGCTATCAACTTCGAGAGTATCGCGCTCGAGGCATGAGACATCGGGAACGTAGTTGTCTCTGCGCTCCATTTCCTCCTCCTGAAGCTTGATGGAGATGCCCCGAACCGGTCCGCGTTCCAATCGCTTCATCAAATGGGTGACGTAGCTGCAATCAAGAAATCCACAACGTGAGTTCGATGTGAGCTGATGGTTGACCTTGATTCGTCTGATCCTGCACGGCTCCTGATGCGAAACCTTAGAGAGCCTCACGGGGCCGCTCGCGATCAGAAGGCAAGCAAAACCTCCCATAGGACTGGTTCGTGTGCCCTCGGTTTGCTATTGAAGAAGTTATGAATAACTTCCCTCTCGCGCTGATACATTCATGCAGCGAGGCGATGTGGAAATTCTCTATGACAAACCATTCGGCGAGCTTCGCTCCATGAAGTCTCGTCCGTCATACTGCGAGCCGCATGAGCACCACATGGCTGTCGTTGTTTATGTCGTTTAAGCAAGATGAGCTCGCAGTCGAAGCCGAACTTCGCGGGCGATCGCTGTCGCCGTGCGATGTGTGAACTCTACGCACCCAGCAATTTTGTTGCGGAGAGGTTTCGATGGAATTGTCGCGATTTCTTCGCACACCCGCTTGTTGGTGTGGAACTCGAGCGTCAGCTTGGTGTAGTGCTTGTTGATCATCAAACGAGCGGCTTTCTTGACGGTCTTGGTACGCACACGACCCATGACTGGTGAGTTTCAGTCGAAAATCGACTTTATACGGTCTCAAATCGAAGAATTTCAGTATCTCACAGCCAAAACGTGGCTTAGCTGGAGCTCCGGCAAGCGGAAAAAGGCATTTCGAAACCGGAACATTCCCGATGTTTGTTTTGGCGAGCAGGCGAGGCGCGCCGAAATTCGAAATAGGCCTGCGGAGATAGAAGCTTATCCGCAAGGCGCTTAGTGTTCCACATAGACTTGCAAAAAAAAACGTTCTCTTCATGAAAAAACCGCGATTATTGACTGCGGTTATCCCTGCATAGAGTCCCATGTTGGGGAAATATCGCGATGGCGGTCGATAAGCCCAGTTCCACGTGCCGAATTCATCGGGATTATGTTCAATGAAAACCAGCTGTAAGAAAGCTTTTGTTGAAATGTGTGAAACGGCGCGGCGCGGAAGTCCGCAGTCGAGGGCATATGATAAAGGCATCTGGGGCTCGGATGGAAAGGATCCTTTGAGACCATCAGCTCAGCAGATTCTGCACCGATGGAGCGTGCCAGGCTCGAGCGATGACAGTTGAATCTTGAATCTTCAGGCGGATATCACGGAAGTCATCTCTCTAATTTGTCAAAGTAACAGAGGCAAGCGGAGCTGAGAGCCAAGATAGGAATGTGGGGACTCGAGATGATCCAGCGCAGGATATCGATCTCGGAGGCATTTCTCCGGTAGAACTTGAGTTCACGCCGACGGAGGGCCGGAAGATCGCAGAGGCAAAGTACTAGTGGAACGACTCATGCATCAGCAGGAGGGCAATAGGAAGGGAATCCGGGAGCGGATGGGATTTATGCGGGAAGCAGATTAGATCGATGTGCCGGGAGGAAAGCGACCGTTGGTGAATCGGTTCGGAATTCTCTCTCCGCCGCGAGATACCAGATGAAATGGCGGCGTCAATGAAATGGATTTGCCTGAACAGTAGCATTATGAAATGATGATGATCCCAATCGAGCTCCATGGACGGAGGTGATGCCCGTATACGCGATTGCTTGAGGCCCTCACGACATGCATCGCAGCCAGAACTTCGTTCACGGGACAGTGATTTTCGATGCTGCCTGGGACTTTTCATCGGGGCTTTTGCCGCCGTGCGAACTCAAATCAAAGAGTTTCCCGTGAACATTCATCCCTGCTGAAGCATTATGACTTCACGAAACTCTAGTTGGAATCAATACCCCTAACAATTCAAGCCCCTACCGATTTCCACCGGCTCTTAGCATGGGATGTTCGCGATACATGGTATATTCTTGAAACATACCGGGTCATTCGAGAGCAAACACACTGACGGTCAGAATCGCATTGAACTTGCTCGGGCTTGGGGAACATCACTTGCGGATTCGCATGCGGAGGATCGACTCCTCGAGAGGTCAAATCGAGCCAATCCGCCGACAATACCGATATATGTCTATATACCGCTCGCAAAATTGAGACCCTCCCTCTATGCCTTAGCACCCGGTTCCTGCATGGGCAAGCATGTATCAAGGTCCCAATTCTCGGGCAATATTGGCTGCACTTTCCGGAGACGCGGCTCTATCCGATACTGCAGTGGAGGATTCATGGTCGACGCTGACAGCCTTGCGTCTTCCACTACCGGGAAAAGCGTTCGCTTATTTCAGCTAACAATCCGCTTCGAGCGACGGAATATCCGATGAAAATAGCGAAGGCAAGACGGTCCTGCTGGGAGGAATATCTTCTATATACCGCAACCATGCAGGAACGGGACTCACGAAGCCTCGCCGAGGTTGACAGGTACTCGATCTCTGGCTCGACTGTCATGGAGGGAACATTCCGTGATACAACAAACGATATGAGGACCTCAACTCTCTAAGAATTATATCGAGCATAAGTCCGGCGTCAAACAACAATCACCAGGAGATGGTTCTCCGAACGCTAATCGCTCCCCGGCTGTGACTGAATGAATGAAGAAACTCGCGGAGAAATCCGAATCCGCGAAAAATCCGCGACGCGTGAGACTTGGAATAGGATTATGCTGAAAACGGAGGCATATCCATGTCTAAACGAGGGTTCTTCCAGAAATGCCTGGATTCGAAAACTCTACGAGGTTCGGTGATATCCGTGACGACTCTCGGTGGGATCTAGAAATAGTTCGCGCCTCCCCTAGCGCCTCTTTATAGCCATTGCTGGATCTGAACATAAGAAGCTATAACAGCAGTTTTTTGTTCCCATAGAAGCTGAAGGGCTCGAGGCGAGAAAGGCTAGAATTAGAAGCATAACTTATGGCCAATAGTCGGTACCAGCGCCATCGGCACCAGCATCAGCCTGATTAAGCCCGTCTGCCGGCTCGCCTAGATGCCTGCTAGCCTGCCTCCCTGCCCGTTCGCCTGCCAGCGAGCCGGCCCGTCTGCGCAGAATGTGACTCATCCCAGCAAACAAAGCCGAGGCTGAATTCGAAAGCCTGGGAATACTTTTCCCGCCTATCTCACTCTGAGTTTTTGTATCTGCTGCTTCGAGAACATTTTCGCCGCCAATGGAGCCGCGACGCTTGAATCAATATTGTGCTTCGGGGCAGTCTCATAATTCTGCCATTGAAATCATATTCTTCTGTCTATCGATTTCCATGTCCGGGAGCGAGGCAGGCTGGAACGATTGAGCCAAGGTATGTGAACGATGTCCGAGTCGATGGCGGCGAGCCTCACACCGTAGAAATGTCGGTAGCACGATGACTAGCAGATGGCTCATCCATCGATGCTCCTGAGAGAACTTCACGACATCTTCCGATTGTTATTCTCAGTCAGATCCGCGAGCGTTCCGTACCAGATTGAAATCCGGAACGATTCTATAACCTCAGGACATATTTCTACAAGACGCGAGATTTAGAATGTACGGCATTATTTCGCGAGATCCTCCGGATTCTCGCGAAATAATGAGAGTATGCACGCCATAGCTCGTTGGTGAGACATCTAGCCCTCCATGACGGAGTGCCAAGAATTCGAGACAGATCTGCTGAGTGCACTGAAAGAGAAAACTCGTATGATTTATTCAGATGTCAACCACGTGTTCCATCCCTTGGCTCTGCAGCGAGGCCTCGAGGAAATACTGGATTGTCTAGCAATCAACCGGATTTGTGTGGGTCGTTTTGATATTCCCATCTTCAGAAAGGTGGAAAGAGTTTGACGCTCCCCATAATGATACATAGGCATAAGCTGAACCGGATAAGGAGATTCCAGAGCGATGTCTCTGGAAACCTCGGATCCACTGACAAGCCTGCCGCAGTGACGCTGCGAACGTCGCGTCGTAGGCCGAGGCACGAACCCTTTGGCGTTCCGTTCAAAGGCTTCGAGTGAAAATCGTCCCAAATTCCGGAACTCGTCGGCTTGATTTCTTCGTTGCTTATAACAGTTCAAGGGGATCGACCCGATCTGAAAGCGTTCGGAGTATCAGGAACCGCAATCCTCGCTTCGAGCCGCGACACGAGGCTCCTAAAGACTGGCTCGGCGTCCTCCACCCAGTTTCACAGACTACCGGAGCACCTGACCACGGACGTAATCCCAATCGATGAACGAGGAGGGGGTGCTACCTCCGATGAAGAACCTCCACATTACTGGAAACCGACGAGAATGGCCGAAAAACGTTCGAAAGTGAAAGGCGGTCGCGTAGCGGGTCAACTGTGCTCCCGGGAAGCCCGAATGGCAATTCACCCCGTCCGAACCTTTCCGCGGCCGCGGAATCACTGTGCGCCGCCGCCAACGCTCACTGACATCCACATGCGGGAGGAATTTGACACCAACTTCCAGCGGATCACTCGAAGCCGTACGCGGGAGTAAATTCCGTCCAGGAGCATCTCCCCGATCGGGATCTCTCACCCTGGCTGGCGTCGAGACTGGTGGGACTTGTTGGATCCGGGCAAATCGCCAATCCGATTCCCGTCGAAATCCGCGAGCCTGCGGGCTCGGTTCAATTCATCGCTCGAACGTCGACGACCGCACCTGCGATCAGGGCTTGCCGTGATGAACTCTGGGGGAGCGATATAAATTCTCCTCAACATCAAATTCGGATAGAGTCCGATGGCAACACGGACAGCTCGCATCTGCCATCGCAGCGCGAGCCTCGATTACCCCTTCTTCAAGAATATCAATATCACGAGCAAATCATGACTGTCGCCTGAAAACCTTCATCTGATGCAGGCAGACATAAGATTGGCGCGAGGGTATGACTTGTGCAACTTTTCGTCCTTTCCAAACTTTCTGCTCGGCCAGAGATTTAGCTCGAGAAGCATGGACCGTACGTAAGTAGGCTCGCTATGCTCACTTCTCAAGGTTATGGATGTGAACGAGAGTTTTTTTGACCGATTCTCAAGAGAGTCGAGGAGCAGCGACTCTTTTCGCCGCAGTCGAAGACGCTGGATCGCCGCTCGGCGAGCCTACTGACGGCTGTGCTGCCGAGCCGACTGACTGGCTGGCGGTGAGCTAAGTTAATGTTATGCGGAGGAGCGGACTCCGCCCTCCGAGCACCCCAGCGAGTGAAGAGCGAAGTGTTGGGGTCCCTCCGCACTTTGGTCCACCCCACGATGTCTCTCTTCGATATTGGAATCCGCTCCGATTCCTTGGGCTGCCTGCTTACTCTCCGACGATCCGAATACTCTACTGCCGAGATCGCTCGAAATATTTTGAACAGTTTCGTTTGCATCGAAGGCTTTCTTCCCGAGCCCGAAGACTTCTAAACTGCAATGGCCGGTGATGGAACGAACTTTCAAAACTAGAATCCATTGATTTGTGGAATTTCAAATCACACTGGCTCCGTCCTCAGTCTCCGGCTGGGGATCCATCCCGGAAATTTCTGACCGCTCTAGCGTTTCCATGGTATATATCCCCGCGGAGGAGAATCTGAATCTAAGCGATTATCCGAGACGGAGCTTCCCGAGAAAACCCGAAACGCGATATCAATCCTAGGCAAGCACCGTTGCGCTCTCTCAAAAGAGGGAGACTCTGTCAGGTTTGTTTCGAATCCGATCGATTCCTTATTAGAGCGAAGTTTCCTCATTCCCCTCCGGCCCTCCTGGCCCGTCTCCCTCCACTAATTCAGGTTTCCGTAGCATGTACGGTGCACGTGATGGGATTTCCCTATGACTGCTCTATTGCGAGGAATCTGTC